GCGGGCAAAAGGCCGTAGATTAGGAGTCCTGGGGGGGAGGCGGGGGTGCGGGTTTCGTGGGACGTCCGACTCCACCCCTAGGGGTGGTGTCGGGTCGCCTGCTGCCTGCGCCCCCGCCTCCCCCCTATCGCCCCATAAAGGGGCAGGAGGAGTAGGGAGCCCTGTGCAAAGTACAGGGCACTCGGGAGTGGGCGCGGGCTGGAGACCCGCGACCCACCCGCCCCCACAACACCAAGGGGGCGCGGCAGGGACCTGGTGGCACCCCTGCCGCATAACGAATAAAGAGGAGAAGGCCGCATAATGAGGCCTAGGTCCCCCCTCCTAAAGGGGGGACTAAGACGAGCGCGGAAATAAGCGTGGCGCGGGGGTCATCCGGAGATTTGCGTTGAAGTACCCGGATGGCCCCCCAAAGTGCTGAGGTGGCCACTCCCGGTGGTTTTAGTGAGGTAGGCGCCCCTATTGCACACTGGCCTCGAGGTGTCAAATACTCGAGTGTCAGGGGGTGAGTCCCACACACCACCCGTCCCTCTCTCCAGGAGGGACGGGTGACGGTCCATGAGGATTTCCACCGGGTCAAAAAAAAAAAAGGTTATGTTATGACTAGGCGTCCGGGTCCCGCTACCGAATAGGCTCGGGGTATCACCTGCCTGTCGTAAGAGGCGACTAAAGCTGCCTTTTCACCTTGCGTCTGGAAGCCAGATCCGTTTGGTCGGTTACCCCCACTTCGTTGCATATTTCTTTTTTGTTTGAGGGGAATGGAAGCTGACTTCGAAAGCCAACGCTAAAACCACCGCTCCCTTTTCACCTTGTGTCTGGAAGCCAGATCCGTTTGGCCGGTTACCCCCACTCCGTGACACGTTTTCGTTTTGATCACAACTGCATATAGTTGTGACTTATTATTAGTGCTTGCATAAATAATTGTGTACTGCGCTCTTTTTAAATAAAGAATGCGTGTGAAACTAACTATAAACGGTTCAAACCGTATATTAACATCGACTTTACGTAATACGTTCGTAAGAAAAGTAATATTTGAGATTAGGAAACGACGAATGCTCGTGATGTGTGCAGTTATAGAAGCAATGGAAGAAAACAAGAAGAGAAGTTACCAAAAGAAGCGATACTGGGTTGCACCTTACTTAAAGGATCGTCCCGAGCATAGTTTTTACCATGTGTCCATTCCAAAACTGATCGAAGAGGATGGGGAAACGTTCTACAACTACTTTCGTATGCCGGTAACACAGTTTGACGAATTATTGTCGATTGTTGGACCACTATTGGTGAAACAAAGTTTTTTTCGGGACTGCATATCACCGAAAGAACGTTTGTCGTTAACATTGAGGTTTGTTATATTTCTGTATCTCAAAGTAGTGTGTGTGCGGGTGTAGGTGTGATTAATGGTCTCCTAAAAATATTATCTAAGTTTATGATCTTGTAATGTTGTAGGTTTCTTGCCTCCGGTGATTCAATGACGTCAATGTCGTATCAGTATCTCGTTGGGGTGACAACAGTGTTCAATATTGTTCGAGAAACGTGTGCAACAATTTGGAAGACTTTGTGTCCTATTGTATTACCATCTGCATTGTCAGAAGAGGACTAGATAGTTATCGCAAGATTTCGAAGATCGCTGTTCTTTTACTCACTGCATCGGTGCCATCGATGGCAAACACGTAATAATTTAAGTAACTATCTTTTCTTCTATTAACTGTGTGACACACCATAGAATATTATGTACGGGTGTATTGTACTTTCAACCGCCGAATAAATTAATTGTTCGTTTTATTTTAGTGTCCCAACAATGCAGGGTCAACATACTACAACTATAAGCATGCTCATAGTGTAGTATTGTTGGCCATCTGCGATGCAAACTACATATTACGTTTTGTGGATATAGGAGCTTATGGGCGACAAAGTGATGGAGGTATTTTCGCCAACAGCTCTATGGGCAAAAAGTTCAGCACAGACCGGATGAATGTGCCGAAAGAAGCAGCTGTTGTAGGAGGACGCATTCTACTATATTGCCTTGTGGGGGATGAAGCTTTCCCATTAAAACCATATCTGCTTCGTCCGTATCCGGGAAAGAACGGACTGACGCAGGAGCAGGATATATATAACTATAGATTGAGCCGTGCAAGGAGAATTATAGAAAATACCTTTGGTATTTTAGCTAGCCAGTGGCGAATATATCGCAAACCAATTATTGCTTCTCCAGATACTGCAAAATTGATGGTGCAAGCTACGGTTTGTTTGCATAATTGGATCCGAAAAGGCGATATTGGGAAAAATGTCTACGTTCCCCCAGGTATGGTTGATCAAGATCATGCTAGTGATCCAAGCAATTTCACACCAGGTTCTTGGCGGAGAATAATTGAGGATGGCTGCGCATTACAAGATATAAGTAATTGCGGAACAAATACTTCTACTCGGAATGCTATACACATTCGTGATGAATTTCGCGAATACTTCTCCAGTGAAGGATCGGTGCCGTGGCAAACAAATCGCCACAAATAAACCATTGTTACATGTACTGCGTTCTTTATTTTTATCACAGATAATTCGTAGCCTAATCTAACAATGTTTCTACTATTTTTTATGTTGAAATAATAAAACAATTATTTATTGATTTATTTATTAATTAATTTATTTACAGTCTTTCTTTATGCAATGTTTTATAAGGCTGGGTCTACATTGGACGTCGTAAGTCGTGTCGGAAGAAATTGACCAATCACAGTTCATTATTCTTCGATCGTAAGGAGAATAATAGACTGTGATTGGTCAATTTCTTCCGACACGACTTACTACATCCTATGTAGACCCAGCCTAAAGCCTTTAAGTTTCAGTGGAATTTTTAAGTTCCTGTCGTAGCACCTCCAGGATACGGATCATTGCTGTCATTCGCGTAGAGTCATTAAGTTGCTTGAGTTTACTGGCAACTACCATACAGAATGCAGTAGATTCGTCAGGCTCAGCAGCAGGGAGGTCCATGTTTATGGGCTCATGAAGCAACTGCCTAATTTCATCATACAACTGTGAGCCTTTCTTTTTTCGGTGCTGCAATTCGTCGCCTGAGAAAACAATTACATTTCTTTTTATTGACCACGTGTAATGATTGTAAAAGTAACATAAGCAGTAGAGTGGTGCAGACAAAATTTTTTTTATTCTTTATTAGCCGTATCGAAACTACACATTGCGTAGGTCTAGAAAACACACCCAATTTTTTTCAGATTTTTAAAAATATTTAGAGGTCCCTCAAATCGCTTTTATGTCAAAAATTGTAATTTTGTAAGTTCTTAGTTTCATAATATCAATTTCATAATAGATATAACATTAAAAAATTTTATACGTGAAAATGTTAGTCAATATATAGCATAAAACTAACATTTTTATCATATTGCAAACAATTATGAGGCGTCTGATAGACTACGTAGAAAAAATTTTTTAATGTTATATCTATTATTAAAAATTACAAACTTACAAAATTACCATTCTTGACATAAAAGCAATTTGAGACCTCTACATATTTTTTTAATCTGAAAAATGGGGATGTTTTTCTAGACCTATGCAACTTGTAGTTTCAATACGACTAATAAAGAGAAAAAAAATTTTTCTGGACCACCCTAATGAATAGTGACAACAATCTTACGTGATTCACGTCCGCTGCTCGACAACTCTTCAACGTCATCGAATGTACTAGCCTCATCAGTGCAAGTGTCGTCTGCTTCAATGTTCGACGTCGTCCTGAAATTATTAGAAATTTTGACATTTATTGATAATATAGGTACACTACCCACAGCACACGAGAAAATGGAAAAATGTAAAAATAATTTATATTGTGCGAAACCATATACATACTGGCTCTGTAATTGCACGTCACGCAGAAACTCCATTGCCCCAGTATGCGCCCACTTAGACCTCTTTTTGGCTGCAGCTGATCCACTTGGCAAATCTATACTTCTGGGCAGCGATCATGTATCTTTTCCCCTAGGGCGGATAGGCGAAAAGTGAAAAGTTTCACGTGAACTCGTGATTATGTGACTCGGCAAAACGTGGAAATGTGAAACTTTTCACATGAACTTCTTCGCCATCAAATGTGTTGGCGGAAAAGGGAAAATCTAGTGATTTTGTAATAATATATTATTATTACTGCACTGTGATTGAAGAAACGTACATCTTTGACTATTTATATAGTCAAAGACGTACATCGGTACATATTTCTGAATATCGACGAGACCGTTAAATGTGTTCGGACGTGTTCGCCTCGAAAGAATTTTTTGAGAATTGATGCATAATAGCTAGAGGCTCTCTAATAATAGCATAATGAAGCAGGCATTGTTTTGAAGCAGGCTCGTCCTCTCGTCGTCGGCACAAAGGTGTTAGTCGGAACGATGCGATAGGTTAGTCTTCGCTTTTGGTAATTTCACTTTTCACGCATTTTAACTATATGATCGCACCGTGATTCGTGAAAAAGGTCGCGTGAAATCACTGAGTGAAAAGTGAAAAGTGAAAAATTCCGTTTGAAAATACATGATCGCTGCCCTGGTGTGTTTGCGGAATGTCAGACAGAGATTTCCATTTTTTTTGGCTTCACTGGCAGTAAGCAAACCTGTAAAAGAAGAATGCATATATAGTCGTAACATGAATACTATTGCCCATACATACATCAGGTGTAGTATTACTTGAAAAACATTATACCTTGCATAACATTGGAGACTTCCTCCCATAACTTTTCTTTCGCCCGGATTCCTCTGTCTCCTATTGGAAGCCTGAAATTCCACAGAGGCGGTCGTTTCCTGACCGCCTCGATGAGGTGCTCTTCTATGAACATCTTCCTTTCAAATACATTCACAGGGACATCGTTCTTTTTGTCGAAGCCTTCTTCTTCTTGGACATGCTCGTCATTCACAATAGAATGAGCTATGTCCTCCACTACATTAACCTCCTCGTCACCTAATGCGCTTTTACGTACAATGTTTCCATTCTCTGCATGCACAAAAGCAATACAATATTAGCCGGATAAAACCACATTTATTTATATACAAAATACCACTCAGGACTTCATTGAACTGTATGTGATTTTATGTAGTGTTTTATACATTTTAATATAGTTGTAGCTGGTATTTTTACCAGGACGTATATTTTATACAATAGATTTAATTCCAGTTCACAGTATACTTACCTAACTGCGGGTAAAAATAACAAGTCTTCTCGTCAACGTAGAATCTCGTAAAACCTTTCATACACGGGTGATTTGCGATTTCATCTGCATTGCAGATGCACTTACACACCCCACAGGTACTTACTCCTTCGATGATGGATTCCTGTAATGCATAATACAATGAAATAATATCTACTAAGTCCGGCGTCGCATTATGTGTTTTGACCGGACCAGTTTCGCTGCAGAAGGATGACACGTTATTTTCAATAGGAAACATCCTTCTGCGGCGAAACCGGTCCAGTCAAAACGGTGAGGGTTTTTTTTATTACGTTGCGATTGACGACAGCCACTCACAGTGATAGTACAATGGAAAGTCTCCAGGCACCGATCAAGGATGAGTGGCTGTGGTCAATCGCAACGTGGTTAAAAAAACCGTAACCTCAAAACGCATAGTGTGACACCGGGGTAACGGTGTTATATCCAGAAGGATGCATCGGTTCAACTCTCGATCAAGAAAAAATACTATTGGGGACATACTTCTTTTTTTTCGTACAGCATTGCAATAGGTTATGTACGCAAATGTGCCATAGACGCATACTTTTTCAGCAATTCGGCAATCAGTAAATAATTAATGAATTGATATTAATAATAAAGATATAAACTTACCTCGTTTCTGTCTTCATTGCCGTTGCCAAATGAACTCATTTTTATTTTCGTGTTGTCACTTTGTCACGTAGCGAATTTCAGCTAGAAGTTCGACCATTCCGAACTTCTGGCGTCCAAACGCCAGGAGCAAGCCAGGCGGAGAATCTGCGCTCGGAGTGGGGGTAACCGGCCAAACGAATCTGGCTTCCAGACGCAAGGTGAAAAGGCAGCTTAAAAGGTGCAGAGCCAGAGAACCCAAATAAGGGATCTCTGGCGGTGCCCGCGGGCACGGGGACGGGGGTCCCACCATAAGTGGTCCCATGCTTGGGACCACTAGTGGGACCCCTACGGGCTGGGGGATGGAGCGCGGGGGCGCTCCACTCCCCCAGTATCGGCCCGTAGGGAAGGGCGGAGTATGGTGTTGCCCTGTACTCCGCCGCGGCCCACATCCATCGTGGGCCGCAGGGTAGGACTCTCCCCGAACACCAGGGGAGAGTAGCGCGGCCGGGCAACGGTAGTATACATCGTGTTCCCGAGACCCGGCCACATATGCGCGCGAAGAAGGCAACCGGGGTGGTTTTAGCGGCTAACGTGCACCGCATACCCCCGCCCTCCCCCCGGAGGCGCGGGGGATTCGAAGGGATTTCCACCTCGTAAAAAAAAAGGTTATGTTATGACTGACATGTGTCTATTAATCTGTGTTTTAACAACTAGTTCTAAATGTAATATCAAATAGTTTTAAATTATGTATAGGGCATGTCGAGAAACATATGGAGATGCAGCTGTCGGGTATGTCTGCGTGAAACGAGAAGGTACAAAGTGCATTCTGAAGGCAAAAATTTGTCCAGAGCACCGAGTACGAAATAAAAGTTACTCGGTAACTTTAACCGTAGATGAAAAAGAAGAGAAAGTGTTAAATGTTGAATGCCATGAATGTGCAGCCGCGTCAGGTATAATTTTATCAGTGAGGGGATACTGGAATGATTCTGCACTTTTCGAATTTGCTCCTAGAACTGTCAATTCGTGAACACATTTGTATAATATACAAATTATATGAGTTTTGTGTACAAACCGACAATGTTCCACTAATCGGACTAATGGCCGATTTTTTCACTTCCCGATAAAATTATCCGGAGGTTAATCTCGAGTTTTAGCCAATCACGTGCATGGATCTGATAGTTTATCTCCTGGTTAACTTTAATTATATTGATACTTAGTCATATAATAATTGTAAATGCGCCGCTAAAATATTGGATACCAATTTTCTAGTACAATGTACTATTAAAAAGTCACAAACCTCAGTTAGAAAATTTTTACCTACATAGAAAGGAGGTACGCTATAGCATCGTGACATTTGCAATAATAATTCAACGAGATTTTTCATTTGATGCTAATGGTATATGCGTAATTACAATAAAAAGTCACAAACCTCAGTTAGAAAATTTTTACCTACATAGGAAAGAGGTACGCTTTAGCATCGTAACATTTGTAATCACCTAAAAAACTTACCTTTTTAAAAAAAGGTAAAAAAAAGCGCCAAGTATAAGCTCCAACGACCGAATATATTTTGTTACTCTATCTTTTTTGCATCTCTACAAAAATATCTTCACTACAAAACTATCTTCTCTACAAAAGTAATGATATCATTAAATGGCGCCAACTAAACTAAATAGTTTTAAACGTGGTGGGGC